AGGTTTATGGTCTGTTATGTGGACCGTTATTTTGTCATTCTCTTCTGTTTACTTCACTTTCTGTTTCAACGCTATTTGGTTTCGGTTTAGGTTTCTATGTAAGTACTGGTATTTCTGAATGGGTTGAGGCTGGCCCTAGTTCACATAAGCCGCAGGCTCTTTGAGACTACTGTGCAAACAATAATGCTGATTGAACAGTTAAAAATATACCACATACATCGAAAGAAAGTGGTACTGCTTTTCAAAGGAGTATTTAGCAGAAGTCACAGAGGATGGAGATGACATCAAAAAACTTCACACTGAGCTGAACAAACAGTCTCAAACTGAATAGAACAGTAATAAATTTGACCCATGTGGGTTAGCTTACTTAAGCATATCAAGTCATTTTTCAACTGCAAGTTCACAGAGCAGTTTTTCCTCAGCATTTTTGGTCTTCTGTACTCCTACAGCCGCATCAGTAAACACTAGTTTACACTATCAGAGACAAACAACTTTCTAGAAATGCAGAGCAACTTAATACAGCGACTGCCAAATAGGTGTGAAGACAGTGAAATGATATTTGTAACCCTTATTAGCAAAGCCACAACTAGGAACATCAACTTGCGACTAAGCAGTGGAAAAATGCAATTGCAAAAATGTCTTTGGTGATATACCTCTTAGACACCAATCAGAAATGTAATCCTTTTAGCAGCAAACATTTTGATTAAATATTTAATATTTATTGCAAATCTGTATTGAGTTACATGTACATAAAATGTTAATAGAAAAAAATAAATAAATAGAAAGCACTATGGTGGGTATTTGTAAAAGTAACTGAAAAAAATAATGAATCACTATTAATTATATGAATCTATTAACAAACCTTGTTGCTTAGGTTTATTAAAGTAAAACTGAAATGTTTACAAGACCACCCCTGGTTAGGAATCACCCCTCTATGGTTCCAACTGGACTATTTGATTAATCTTACGTTATTCATGTACTTTTGGTTACAACTAAACTTTTAAGGCAACATTCTGCAGTTTCTTAGGCAGACTCAAGTAAAATGCACAGCTAAGACCATAATGCCATAATGAAATTTCTAGAAAGTGAGCAAATTGCATCAGCCACAGCTGGTAAACAGCGGTCTAGTACTGTTTCAACACCATTACTGAAGAACAGATGTAATCAGCAAAGCTTTAACAGACCTTCATTGAATTACTATCTTTTAAACCAAGCAAGAGCTACAAGAACGTCAAAAAGAGAGGCCAGCCATGAGATCTAATACACCTTCAATGCAAAATCTAATCCTGCCAGCTAATGGGACAAAAGAAAGCCGGATTTGGCCCTCTCTTTTTTCATAATTTAACCCCTCGCAGAATATGATAAAGAGGCCTGGAGCAGCTGCAGACTGACCAGTCCCCAAGCACACAATTATCAACAAAAGAGCCCTTTTAACGCATTGAGCTAATCAGCAGCCAGCCCACCACTGCAGTCCCCCTGAACCATCTGCAAGACGGCAGACCGTCTCCGTGATTGTGAAAAAAGACTGGCACCATGCTATCATGTCCTAGGGTCAATGAAGCACATTGCTTAGCAACAGTCAAGCCCCCATGCATGGAAACCAAAAGCTTTAGCTTTCAAAGAGCAACTCAAAGAGCGGACAAGGGAATGTGCTCCAAGATTTGATTACCAAATGGCCTCCGATTGTTCGCTGACCACTGCAGGAAAAGAGAGCATTAAGAGCCACCAAGCATGGACCTTAAGCGACCAGCAAGTGATAGACAATGAAACATTTTACATTTTCATTGGTCTACAAACTATAGCTGCTTTGTGTCTAAACTATGTGAGATGATAGAGAGCTATATGTAGCCCGAACTGAACAAATGCAATACATGAATTCTGGAAAAGTCAATCTGCAATGCCACGACTGGTGTAGGAATAATTAAAATAATTAAAACTACACAATCATAGTCTTGTTAAATGATTAATCACTGCACATTATTCCAAGTCAATATAAAAAAATGTTTCTCTTAGTAATGTTTCATCACAGCTGACGTCACAAAACTCTCTTACTTCGAATCAACCCATCTCCTCCAACCAGCTTCATTCGGGCACGTAATTCATAGTTTTCAGTCACGTGACCGGCTCGAAGACCTGGCGGGCAAAACAGCCATAGAACTGCAGCACAAGCCCGTCAATTTTCTATCTTGGTAATTTTCACCCCTCAAAAGAATAAAAGATATGTGAACAAAATGCAAGTTTTGGCCATTAGCAATCCATATAAAGCACCCGCCGCAATATTTCAATCACTAAAATCAGCGGTACATTCTAGCTAAATCATTTAATGTAAAATCACTTAAAGTGCCTTTAAAACAGTGATATTAAAAGATCAAATTCAGTACACACCTTATTGATGATGCATGCTTTATACAGGCAAGCAAATGAGCCCAGAACATGAATGCAATGCGCTAAATGGTTAAGTGTTTTCTTTATAATGGTTTTCTATGGGAAAACATTTCATATTAAACTTCGAGAATTGCGTTAATATTCTGGGTTCATCTGCTTGCCTGTACAAAGTCTGCATCATCAAATAACCTTATATACTGAATATATACTGAACTTGGCCTTTAGATATCACTGTCTTACATTACTACTTAATGCAAGCCTCGTAAAAATAACTGGCGGTCAGTGGAGGAAAGCCTTGTTTTGCCCTCCATGTGGGTGTTCCTGTGAGGGTGTGACGTCACATCACATGCAAACTATGAATAGGCACATTTCACAATCCAAACATTTTCTAAATGATACATTTAGTTCACAGCCGACATTTTCACTGATTAAATACACTTAAAATGTTTTACACTGCAGATGTAGAATGGGTTGCAAATGTTGTTTCGTGTTGACATAAGATTTTTAAATATGGAAATCGTACCAGCAAGGTCTGGATGATGAAGCTTCAGGACAACACACAAACACAGTAACTCACAAAAAAAAAAGGGGGGGGGGGGGGGGGGGCTTGAAAAATTTTTTCTCTACAAAAGGGGGGCCCGGCAGAAAAGGTTTGGAAAATGTTTTACATTACAGGTGTAGCATGGCTTGCAAATGCTGTTTCATGTTGACTTAAGATTTTTAAATATGGAAATAGCACCAGCGAGGCCTGGATGATGAAGCTTCAGGACAACAAGATCAATAACGCACAGCTACTCCAACATCTGTAGCGTATCATGCCCTCATTTAGAAAACTATCTTGGAGAAAACCAAAGATGATTTAGGAAAAAAAACATGGTCTACTCATTTTTCACAAAACATTTCAATCACACAATGTTAAAATCAATCCCAAGTTAATTCATGTGGATGACAAAGCGGTTTGGGGCGAATAGTGAAGAAACCCTTTACCAAAACAATGAGTTAGGCTATGGTTTCAAGATATTTCAACAATTTAGGACAACAAAGCCACTTTTGTATAGTTAAGCCCTGAAAAGCTACAAACACTGGATCTAAACTACTGACTTCCTAGATGTTACAACCTCTAAATGACACTGGTGGCTCTGGTACGCATGTCAACATATGAGTATTTCTGTTCCTGACACTTGTTGTGTTCACTAGATTTTGAAACTCTGCCGAGGCCTTAAAACAACAGTCGACGCTAACAAGCTAAACTGTTTGGAAAAAGTCACAAATCTGCTTGGTAGTGAATGAAGAGGTTCCTAAACGACCATAAGTTCCCAAGGCTTTTTATGGTTAAAACCTTGTAAGATAGCTTTAAATAATTTGTGCGACTTTGCATTTGCAGAAACAATAAAACAAGTTATTACATTCACAGCTTTTCAGACAAGCACACAGAGCCTGATTGGATACAAAAAGTACCTGGTCTCTCTCATGAGGGAGTAGTGTCACAGGTGGGAGGTCGACACCAAAGACCCCCACGCGCCTGAAGCAAGCTTTGCCTCCCAGCCCACCACTGTTCATCCTGTAGAGTGGCCCATCCTTGAGCAGCCGCCCATTGTTAACCGCTCGTTTAGCAGCTAGCCTCAGCCTCTGCTGAAACCTGGGGTTCGCCACAACATTCACCAGGTCGCCCTGGATTCTAAGGAATCTCTCGATGTTCCTTAGAGAGGAGCCAGCCGGGACGCCCAGACCTTCGATAGCCCTCCTAAGGATTTTATTCCAATCCACATGACGCAGATCCCCTGCAGGTATCACAGATCCAAGCGAGACCAGGCCAGAGCCTCCCAGCTTGAAAGGCCCAATCCTTCCCGGGTTATCTGGGTCTTTGTATGAAGCGCATCCTTTGCTGGTAACCTTAAGGATGGACCCATCCTTCACAGAGAGCTCCAGCTGCTGGAGTACGACGCCCTTGTCTAGTCCATGTGAGGTTGAGACAGCATGGCAAATCCGCTCCTCCGAAGGCCGCTGCTTCTGCCTTTTGATCTTCTGAATAGCCTCAAGAATCCACTCTGTGTACAGGGGATTGGCCAGTTTCACCATGGTGAAATAAGTTGTTTCATTAAGGTGTGATCCATGAATACATTCCTTTTCTTTTAAGAGTGAACAATACGCATCCACAAACAAAAGCCAGCCATTAGTACATTATGCCAAACAGGATATGGGACTGATGTAACTCCTCAAAGATCAGACTGGCTATTCATTCCTTTTCCCTTTTGTCAGAAAGAAAAAAAATCCCTTGTGGTTGTAAATCCAAAGTCAGAAGACTTGCTGAAAAATCCTTTCGTGTTACACCTGTGGGTGTGAAGAATAGAAAAACAGAAAATACACGTTACTTTGCAACAAAAACACTCTCTACAGAGCCACTCCAGAACTAGTTACATGGGCATGGCAATTTGATCCAGGGGGGTTAGGCTAACCAACACTACCACTTATTTACATTGTACTTGTGCAAAACAGTATGACTAATGTAAAATAGGTTAAAAAGGTTTATCTATATACTAATACTATACATCTGATATACGTATATATAGATGTATGTGTGTGTGTGACCCTGGACCACAAAAACAGTCATAAGTGTCAATTTTTTGAAATTTAGATTTATACAACATCTGAGAGCTGAATGAATACGTTAACCATACACCAATGTAAAGCGTAAGATAGGACAATATTTGGCCGATATACAACTATTTGAAAATCTGGAATCTGAGGGTGCAAAAAAAAAAAAAAATTTGAGAAATAATATTGAGAAAATCGCCTTTAAAGTTGTCCAAATGAAGTCCTTAGCAATGCATATTACTAATGATAATACATTTTTTGATATATTTACTGTAGGAAATTTACAAAATATCTACATGGAACATGATCTTTACTTAATATCCTAATGATTTTTGGCATAAAAGAAAAATCGATCATTTTGACCCATACAATGTATTTTTGGCTATTGCTACAAATATACCCATGCAACTTAGGACTGGTTTTGTGGTCCAGGGTCACACACACATACATACATACATACATACATACATATATATATTGGCTTAGTTAAACACTACAGTGCCCTTTATTTATTTAGCATACAATAGTATTTTTTTTATTCATTTATTTTTCCCCAGCCCTTAGAAATAGAACGTGACTTCCGTTATTAGGTGCACACATTCCATAAAAGGAAAAATTACCAGTCCAAACCAGACAGACCAGTACAACCATGAGATTAAGATGAACATGTTAATTCACATTTTGATAAAATGCAAGCCACTTTACCAGACATATAGCTGGTACTCAAAACCTGCCTACCTACCTAGACAGCAAAAATGCTGCACGTGTTTATGATGCCCATTTACGCAGTCTAGCTAGGGAGCTCACTAGATTGAGACATTCATTCACTCCAAAACACTGTTGAATCCAAAACAACGCAACAA